TGGGATCCCTAAATCCTTATCCATGGGATCCCTAAAATCCTTAGCCTCATCTGAAACTCCTGTCATAAAGGTTTGAGCCAGCCTTAAAAAAACCCTAAACCCTAAACCCTTAGAGCTTGGGCCAGAGTAATCTAAGCCATGAGGGCCTCATCCTGAACCCTGGCCTAGACCCAAGTCCCTTGGGGTAATACTAGGGTTTAAGGGTTTAAGGGTTTAGGGTTTAAGGTTGGGGTTATATAGGGATAATGGAGAATCAAATGGAAAATGAAGTGGAAACTGGGATTTTGTCTCTTCTGAAGTACAGTGGATTATACGGATCTTACCCCAATAGAGGTACCCTTGAGGCAGCCGCTTGTGGCCCAATTTCTCTTCCGCAGTCTGACCTCCATACCCTATAGTCCCACTTATCTACAAAATCAATGATGGCAATATCATAATATAATCCCAATTGTCCTTAAACACCAAAACGCACGATTTGTGGCTCCAGTATTTGTGCGCTGCTCAACTCAGCTTGATATGTCTGCAGCCCTGACGTGCGTGCGATGGCAGAGCAGCTATCGGCAAAACACAGCTCTCCTAAAAGGAGGCCCCCAAACGCCAACTCCAAAAACTTCACCAACCTGAATGCGCGCCAATAGCCCCCGTAATGGCCCCAATATTTCCTGACGGCAGTGTTTATATGGGGCTAAACCCTAAACCTTAAAATCCTATAGCCCCAAACATACACCCTTTAAAGGGCCCAATTCTGCTGATGGGAAGAGTGGCGCTCCCCGGACCCACGAGGCCCTTCCGTTCCTGTAGCAAGGCAGGGCCAAAGTTCACCCGGCCCATCATGTCCACCAACACCTGGGGGGATTAGGGCTTAGGTTTTTGGGCTTGGAACTTAGGGTTTGAGGTACTAACACCTGAGGGGCATTGGGGCTTAGGGCTTAGGTTTTAGGGCTTGGAACTTAAGGTTTAAGGTTTAGGGTCTAGGATCTAGGGTTGGGGGTCGAGGGTGGCATGTCAGTTTGGGGGCTTGGGGCTTACTTTGAGGGTCCCTGGAGTTAGGGAATATACGATAGCCGCGTAATCAGCTGATTATGATCCTAGCATAACCGCTTATAAGTAAGTCCCTGGCCCATTCGGAAACCTAGCCTCCCACACAGTAATTAAGGTTTCAGGGTTAGGATGGTGTCAGATGCCCAGACTAGCTTTATATTAATTCCTATATCTCCGCTGCGTAACCTTGGGGCCTACATTTTGAGAAACTCTTATATCTGCAAGGAGCTTCGAGTTCAGCGCTGAGGGTTTCAGGGTTGGAGGAGCTTCTCTGGAGCTTCGGGTATGGGACTTACGGGCTGCGGCTTAGGAGCTAAGTGTGCAATGTCTTCTGCTTGTGGCCTGGAATTTTGCACTTGCAGACTTGGGATGCCCCAATCGCTAAATCCAACATCCTTATCAGAGCGTTTCAACCCTGATCTCGAGCTTGGTGGGTGACCCGGAGGCTTTGCAATTTACACGTAGACACATCTTGCATTTTTGCAAACTCCGTTTGTGTTACGGCATGCCTGTGTTAGGTTCCAAATGGGGGCCGGAGCGGGTGGAAGAACGGAGGGCGTGGAAGACGACAACTCATGTCCAGCACCGCGTGGTTCTGAACCCCAAACCCAAACAGGAATTGACTCCAAACCCTCAGACTGAAATGCTGAGGCCTTAACCCTAAACCCTAAAGTCACCGTTTGCATAACCAGCCCCCCCCCTCCCCCTCCCCCAAAAAAGCTTATAAGAAAACAAAATGTGCAAACC